GAAGTGACATGAAAAGGCTTAGAACTCTACACTTTCCGAGTTTCTTAGATTATCGGCGCCTATGCTGTTTATACAGTCCAAGTTAGTTCAGAAGATTCCACGCGGTGTTCAAATTTCCTGATTGTTTCAGCGTATGGGGCAGCAAACTTAGTAGTAAATTCGGAACGATGTAGGAAAGATCTGGATTAGAGGCCAAGAGAACGAGTCCATAGACGTTTTTTGCACGCGCGCTCCAATCCGAACTACAGGAATGCAAAGTGGTGCGACAAATGGTAACGTATAAACGTTCTTACGATGCGTTCACAATAGGTCCAGCATATCAGCATACTGCACGTTCTGTATGTCAATTGCTTTGCATTCCCATGCGTCACTTCTTTGTTTTCGAGTATTATTGGTATTTTTTCCTTAATAAAAGAGACATTATGCCGATAATTGTTGCTAATAACACAATCTCGGCTATAGTTTTATGACTTGCATAAAATACTGTTATATGACATCATATTGAATGGGCATAGACATCACGAAATTTGTAGTTATTTTTTAATGTGTGCATCATAAAACGGAGAATTACCTGTTCATGAGCACACAACAAATGATAGTGATGACGGGGATCACAATTATCATTATTACTATTCTTAATATGATTAGTAGTAGCAGTAGCATTAATAATATAACTAATGGAAGTAGTGTATTGATGAGGATTCGCAAAGTGGTAGTGAATAAGCAGTTCATAAAAAAATACACAAATACGCTTGACGCGCATTTGATGACGACTGAGGCTCGATATAGTTCGCAGTGCTAATGAAGCACAAAAAGGAAGTGCGCGTACATAATAAGGCGACCTATTTCTAAACGCGTTTGAGCGTGCACACTCCGGAGACGCTACGCTCACGCACGATCGCGTGCTCGTCTTTGCCACCAATTTCTTCAGCCCTGAATCTCGATGAAACCGCAAAAGGTCAGTAGCGGAAACTTGCGTTTAGAGTGCTTCGCATAAAAAACAGTCATAGTGTTATCTCTAATTTTTTTTTTTTCTGCCATCCCTAGCAACAAAGCCTTGTTGTGTTCGCAAAAAGCGGTTGTGAAGGCTGGAGCCAAGCCGAGACATCACCAACCCTTTCCAGTTGTGTAGTCAGCTTTTTCTGGCGTGCGTTCCCCCGCGTGCAGCCCACAGAGCCGGCAAACAAGTTCAATACTGCAATCTAGCGCAATTAAAGAAGCGCTAAAAAAAAAAAAAGAACGTAACGCATACGGTAACAAAAAAAAAAAAAACATTTACCGTAACAAAAAACAGAAAAGACGACAACGAAAAACCGCGAGAGGTGATTTCAAAATGAGATAGGCAGGTAAACAAAGCTGTGAAATAAAAAAAATATGGAGGAAAATTGGTACTTAAAGGAAGCTGTCTTCTTGTCGTGATTGTTGTTTTGCAAAGAAACGGCATGGGTACAATAAAATGCAAGAAGAACCTTCGGGAAACCATGTGCCATCGGCTACAGGAAATTCGACGAAACTTTTTATCGTCTGTGAGAAGATTAATCACTGGCGGAAGGGAGCGCCGATATACAGCGTCATGGTATGAAGCGAAACAGTCTCCGACTGTCGAAACTTTTGGAAACGAGCCGAGAGTGCTTTGTTCCCTTTTCATTCATCGTACTAGGTTCGAGTGTACGGTGTCTAGTGAGTATGCTCTTGTATCAATGTCTAGAAAACGGGGAATTTTCTCTGCCCCAAAGGGTGTCTGGCGTCTCTGTGGTAAGACGAAAAGTTTGGCCAGTGAAGTACAACAGCTGGTCTGGGGACGTTAACAAAGAACATGCGATAGCGATGCGTAAACGAACGTCCGAACGATGTTCATCCTGATCGGAGCGTGGTGAGAGCGGAGATAAAACCAAGGATCTCTGCGTTCTAAAGCGCTAGCTTTTGCTCCTGACTCCTGCGAGCAGCGGTGCACCAACACATTCATAGCAGTGTGTAATACAGCTGTTTCATCTTTCCCCTTTTCGCCCCCTCCTCCCCCTTTTCTTTTAGGTGTTTAGAACTCTGTGTCAGACGACACTATGATAAAAAAAAAACACACTCAAGCGATCACTAGAGGGTCTTTATGCGCGCTTTACTTAGGATGATGACATCTAACCATTTTGTTCGAAACGCTTATTTTTTTATTTTTCTTAAGCGCGTCAAAGAGCGTGTCCCTGCACGCGCTCGTGGCGCTGAGAGTGCCACGGCATCATTATGTTTTCAGCGATTTCTTTATATTTTCCCTGTGAGCGCGAGCTGCCGGCATCGGGTACTACCATAGCCTCCCAAATACTGAAAAAGCCAGGCAGATCGCCATGAGAAGCGGCCGCCGAAATAGGAAAGGTGGAGCGGCTGACAACGGATGAGAGGAGAGCCACGTGACTGGCGCCCCGCTGCGGCGAGACGCCGAAACACACTTCTCCCGAGCGAACAAGTGAGTTCCGGGTCCTCGCCGCTGAAAAAGCTGTGCGCTGACGTCCAGGTTCCCCGGTTCCCCGAGAAATGACTCTTTGCTGCTCTGTGCTACCAGATCCTCGTACTCTAAATCTGCTACCGGAGACTCCATGACTCAGTCGTCGAACTGCCAGGCTAGGTTAGTATAGAGGATGCTATAGTATTACAAATGGTGGCATCACCCCAGAGCCGTGTATATAGAGAGTTTAGTCAATGGGAGGCGCGGGCAGAGCCAGGGTTTGCACCAGACGCAGAAAGTGGGCTTGACATGCTTTCTTGACCAACCAAAAGGCTAAAAGAATCTCCTGGCGGTGGTAGCGAGAAACTGTTTTAATCAAAGGTATAAATATTCCTATATAGTTTGAATAAGCCCGTAAGAGTGAAGTGTAGTAACTCTTCGTGGTTCAAAATAGGGAGCACGTGATGTTTCGATCATGATCATGCAAAAAGTTGTAGGAAACAAATGCGCCGCTCAACTCTGTTTTGCTCGGACAGAGTGTGACCACTCCAACGGCGGATTCCCGACCCTCGGCTCTAGGCATACAGATTATGTCGACCGTCCCGCTATACTTCTCACCTTAGAGGCAACTACTAGAGGCAAAAGCTACGGACCACCAGATCGAATTACGAGCCACCTAGAAATTGCGTGGTTTTTCGCTTCAATGCACGTGTCGGTGCCCGCGTCGAATGGGGATGGGTGGACAGTGGCTCGAATTGAATGGCACTGAGTGTCTCACCAATTTTACATCGTAAAGAGAGCCACAACATACAGGCTTTATGCAGTGTCGAAGCCACAGAAATGATGATGCACTCTTTGGTTCGGAACATTATTAGGCCACGCATAATAAATGTAAAGCATGTCATAGTTTAACGTGTAACATGATTGGACTTGGCGGCCTGTGACTTTGACCTTTATTCCATTGTAGGACGGGGCAAAGTGTAGTCGCACTGTTCCACCATGATTTTGGATGACCGTGATTGAAGCATCACGTGCACCATAATTTCAGCCACCGAGGGTTACTCCGGCACTTATCAAGTGTGTTTCTCGCGACCACCACCAGGGTATTTTTTCCGGCTTCTAGTTCGCCACATTCGAATTCCTGAAGGCCTCCCTGGAACACGCCCAGCCCGCCTTCGGCGAATGGCGCCTCCTCATTTGTTTTCTATATTTCCCAACGAATGGCCGAACTCTCCACATTTACGGCTCTGCATCACCCTAAACAGACGGACATCGAGGCACCCTAGCGATCACAAGCAGAAGTTAAGGGAACGGTAGCAGTGCCTATTTTATGATACCTATTTCAACGTAGTATCCGGTGTTTTTTATTTCATTTTGTGCGCTTTTTTAGGCAGCTGCAGCTAAAATATTAACCCTTTACCGCATGACTTTTTTTACGACGACGAGAAAAATATATTTCATGCAGCTGGGGAATATAAAAACATAACTTAAAATATTTTTCAAAAATTATAATAAACATGCGAGATTTTTTATAAAATTAGGTTTGTGCCATTTATGGGACAGCATGCAGTATACATAATTTTATTGGAACCACAAGACATTTTATTCAACTTATTTTGACCACACTATTTGTGGCAATATTTGAAAGAATATTTATTGTTTGGAAAAAAAACATTAAATGACAGATTTGTGTCAACATACACAAACATTTAGGACGTGTGAAACTTCAAGAAACAGTTCCTCTCTTTGTTCAGGCAGAGAGGAACATTGCACTTCTGGCATGACACAAAGGATTTTGCCTGGCAACTCGGCAACTTGCATCTTGCCCGTGTCTCGATCCATAGGGGGAAGTGGTCCGTCTTGTCCAGGCGAACGTCCTGCGAGGGTACTGCAGCTGCAGGACCACGTCTCCTTTTCTCGATGAGTTGAGCCTCGACTTCGTTGCTCGGGCGCCCTCGTTTTCTCTCGGCAGGTTTTCCAGCTTTGCAGAGACCTTCAGCTACAGACAACTTGAAGTCAGCGAGCGGCATTCCTTTTCCATTCCTTCGCCTCCAGAGGAGCCAAGAGTTTACTAATGCCAAATCAAGGACATGAAAAAATATCTTGAGATACCATTTCTTTGATCTGATTTGAATTCTGTAAAGCCCTAGCATGGAGTCCAGAAGATCCACACCCCCCATGTAGCTGTTGTAAACTTTCACCGACTGCGGGCACGGAACCATCAGGTGTTGTTTTTCTTTTCGGTCATACCTCTCAGCTTCAGCCACTGGGCCACTTCCAACATAGGTAGACAAAGTGGTCACTACCTTGTTGTCATACCACGCCACGACACACACGTCGACACCATCGACTGTTGCGGCTCGTTCAGTCATGCTGCCACGTCCGTTGGCTTTCAACTCGGCTTCTTTTGGTAGCTTGCACCCAGGCAATCTGTTGGCTCTCACTGTTCCTAAAGGAAGCAAGCCCTTCTTGGCAAGTTGAACAGCAAGTGGCACACTGGTGAACCAGTTGTCAAAAAAAATTTTGTGGTTCTTTTGCTCAGGAACAGTCTTGCACAGTCGCAAGACTATACGTTGCTGCTAGCGCCAAGGTCTGGACAGCCAACCGGTACGGTGTTGTTCTGAGCGCCAGCAAACACTTCAATTTCATAACTGAACCCCGATATTCCACTCAGTACAAATGCCTTGTATCCCCACTTGTGAGGTTTTTTGGCGTTATACTGTTTAATTGATGATCTTGATTTTGTCGGAATTATTTGCTCAACTACTGCAAGATACTCCTCTTTTGGAATCAAGTGCAGCCGCGCGTTTAGCATGTCCAAAAGCGGTCTGATTTTGTGCAGCTTGTCGTGAGATGGGTGACCAATGGGGGCAAATGTGGTGTTGTCGTTGACATGGAGGAACCGCTTGAGCTCCTCCCAACGGTTGCACGAGAGGATGCCCGAAATAGCATGCTGCCCGATGTGACTGTTCCAATAAAGTCTCGTCGCTGGGAGCTTCACAATGGACATGTAGAGAATTGTTCCGAAGAACTGTTCAAGTTCTGCTCCAGTTACACACACTGGCTTGTTGGGCTCACACTGTACTGAGTACAGGTTTGTCTGATCGACTATGTGGTCCACAATCTCAGGTGTAATAAAATATTTGAAGTATTGAAGAGGTGTGTCGAGTTCAGTAACTTCTCGTGGAAGTGTGGTATCACCGGAAAACTTCACGGCCTCAGGATCATAGACGGATGTTTTTTCTTTCCAAGTTGGGATGTTAGTCTTCTGCTTTTTGATTCTTGGGGATGGCAGGAGCTCAGCGTCATCGACCGATTCTGTATCAGATGATGAGAGGTCATGCAGGGGTACAGTTTCTTTCTCTGGTGGCACGTAGAGGTCGTCACCATCGTCAGACAGCTCACTGTCCTCGCTTTCATTTCCATTTCCAGGTGGTCCCTTGCCATAGAATTTCCGAGAATCCATAGGTCTAAGAAGTGTAAAACACGCACATACTTCAATTACAATATTCAACGTCACCATAGCAGACTGCATGTTGTGCCACATCTGGCACAAACTTAAAAAAATGTTTTGCAAACAAAATATCAGGTCAGTGTTAACATAATATGCGTCTAGGGTATCCTAAACAAATTAGAAACAACTTCTGAATTACTGAAATAAGTCACATGACAAGAACTTACCGTATGTGCGATGAACTTTCACAGAACGAACCCACGTGCACGGAAGATTCGGAAACCGAAACAATGCGGCTGTCAGTTTAAAACGCCACCGATAGATGGCACTACTTGCTTGGCGCACAAAGCGGAGGTATGTGCCATATCTGGATCCGCATGCAGTTTGAGCACAAGGCATAGCTGCAATATCTTATATATTCTTAACCGGTGTGTTCCATATATGACCCATGATGCGGTAAAGGGTTAAATACAGTTGACACATATAATTGTAAAATTTATTTTTCAACAAATTTATAAGTTTGGCGAATGACGAGGAAACAAACGTTGTTAAAGCTTTCCTGAAATGGGCCAGTCACTTGAAATGTTACATTTACCTAACGATTGTTGATCTAATTCCATATGGTGGAGGTTAAAGAGTCCATGTGAGTAGTCGTCCGCACTATGACATATCTTTTTTAACTTTTAAGGCGAATTTATTTCCCTCTATGAAAATGTTCATGTGCGAGAGGAGACTGGCAATGTGTATTACCCTGCAGCCATGGTGTCATCAGGCCGCCTATCAGGCATATGGTTAGCTTTGCCTGTCACATGGCTATTGCGATACTTCATAACAAAGAATATAAAAAGAGGTATTTCTGCCTTTTTACGTAACCTGTCCTCTACAGAGGGGGAGGGCAAAAAGCGAGTTTAATGCAAATACACCGCGGTCATTGCGAAATCCACATACAAACTGAAAATGTTTCTTACGGATTCAGAGGTGGAGGCAAGCTTCAGCCTTTTGGAGCAGGTCTGGGAGCAGCAAAGATGCCCCTTTGGAGCAGCTTTGGAGCAGTAAAAGTTGAGCTTTGGAGCAGCTCAGGAGCAACTAAAATCGATTTTCGTAGCAGTACAAGCAAATCTTGGAGCTGGTAACCCGAGTCAAACTCTGTGCTGTAAGCACAGATGTGTTATCCGAGACACACACAAAAAATATAAATAAAAAAAACAACCTCATGTGACGCTCCAGAACCATTTCCAAACATGACCTTTCATTAAATATATCCCAGCCCATAGCAAAAAAAAAATATTTGAATGGCTGCCATTGAGAACTGTCCTGGTGGTAGCGTGTTGGTTCCTCTCATGGATTTACAATAGTAGGCATAGGCAACTAAAGAAAAAAACTTAAGCCTCATGAAAACAAAACATTTTCACTATCTAACAACCTAAATCGCACGTTCCACAAGTCAAAAACAAAACCACAAAAAATTGACTGACAAAACTAGCAAGTAAGACCATAAGACGGAAGGTTTTCCTTAAGTCAATGCGGCGCGCAAGTTTGTCTCCTTCTTGCAAAGGAATCGCATGACGTCAAAACGCCGAGCTCTCATTGGCTGATTAAAAAAAAATAGTGGGTACACCTCAAGGCACCTAGTATTGGGGTCTACCCACTATAATTTCAAACAAAACCAATCAAAGCTCGGCGTTGTTTTGACGTCACCGCATCTCCTGTGCAAGACGCAGACGACTTGCTCTCCGAATTGCTTGGATGTGTTCTAGCACAACAGTTTAGAATTTGCTTCGCTCAGCAGAACATTCCCACTGTTCTCCTCGTCCTCCGGCGGGCCTGCCGTTTGGGTGCCAGCAGGTGTATTCGCCACGTACAAGAACAAGAAACTCTACAGATGACCGCGGCAACCAATTATCGCTTTTATATGTTACCTTTACGACACGAATGAGGAACGTGGAAGCAGTCTCAGCAAACGCACCCACCCAAAACACGCAAAAGTAAATATACATTATGCCAAATGTTTAATTTCATAGAGTAGTTATTGCTGTCCACAAAATTTAGATGATAGGTGAACAAATGCCAGCAAGCTCTTATGTACATTTATATACCATAAGGTCCTGAAAGAATGCCCACCCAATGAAAAGGTAAATGGTGTGTGTGTGGGTGTGTCTGTGTCTGTGCGCATGTGTGCGCGTGCGTGCGTGTGTGCGCGCGTGTGTGTGTCGGGGGCAGTGCAAGCTACGTGAAACGGGAACTCTTCAACTTTAAAGTTTCATAACTTTTCCCTCACCAGACCCTCGGGTTTTAAACACCATGATTAACTACCACCAGCTCGCTTGCGCACTCACTGTCTTTTCGTTACTGATACACGTCGCAGACACGGCGAACTCGCGTGTGCAATAAGTATGTGGAAATTCGCTAGGAACTTCCCTGTCACAGGTGCGGCAGCAGAACGTGGACGCAGCGCATTCGGGCTTCACAGTGCGATATAGACGCAAGAACCCAGCCCCCTCAAACTCGGGTGTCAGGGGAACCAATACTGCCAACAAAAATCGCAGACAAAAAAAAAAAAAAATGCGGCAACGAATTCGGAATTTGCATGTCATGGCCCATGGGAAGGGATGCTGCAGATTCGCGTGTCACGGTGCGATAAGCACGAGGAAACCCGCGGTGAGCACGCTTGTTGCCTACCAATACCGCAGATAACACAGCAGATGCAATTAAAAAAACAAAAAAAACACGGGATGTGTGATTTTTGAGGGGGCGGGCGTTTGTACGAGACTTTACGAAGATATAATGCATGTGTGTGTTATTTCGAATAGACTCGGTCATGCTCAGTGCCACTGTGCAAAACAAAAAACGAAGTAAATGACTAGACGATGCATCGAAGCATCGTTTCGTCGTTTGTCAGAGTGAGTACCCTGACAAACCGACCTGAGCATGTGCCGTTTTCAGAGATCGGACTTATACGCCGTTGACACGACCACATAGGTATAGTAGTTTCATGACAAAAGGGCCTTTTAGCAAACCCTTATCCGCTAACCGCGCACTATTGTAGCCTTTGAAGTATGCTTTTAAGCGCGCGCCCGAGTGATACCGTGGCCGCGGGGAGCGCGCTTAAAAGCATGCTTCAAAGGCTCCGGTAGTGGGCGGTACGCGGTAACTGTTTGCTAAAATTCCCTATAGCCAACTCGCAACGGCCAGGCGGCGCCAGCAGAGTGAGAGCGCACGGTTATACCCTGTCTCCTTGTAACTTGGCAAAGGGTGAACGATAAGCCCCACATTGCGTGCCGAAGGCTTCGAAATGCGCGACGTATACGAGCGCAACGCACACATATTGGAGCATGACTCAGCGAAAAGCCTGATACTTCTCCGGAGTTGAGGCGCGCTCCGGTGATAGGCAGTCACGTTCCCATTGGCCCGCCAGGGCCGTAGCTTCCGCTCTACTGGCACGCTACGCGATCACGGCTTCCTGGGATACCCAGTGTTTCTTGCTTCAGACACTAGGCTCAGCGGCGCCACCAGAGTAAAAGTTCACGTTTGAACAATGCAGCCGCCACTCCCAGGGGTACCCAATATTTCTTGTTTCAGTCGCTAGATGGCGCCAAACCAAACAGCCTTGCAGGTTGCCTATTGTTTCAGAATCACCTGAACGAACACGACACGGTAAACCACTGAGGCCAATAAAGACTAATACTAAAATAAATATAGCCCTAAAAAAATTGTTCGGCTAGTTTTGGCGCAACATGTGCGCTTGGGAGCAGGATGGCGCAGCGAAAGTGGATTGGCGCACAATGGCGCAATTGGCGCAGCGCTTTCACCTCTGCGGATTTTCGACAGTTTCATTACGCATGTTCGCACAAACCTAAACTCGAGAACGCAAAAAAAAAAAAAAAACAGAGAATAAAAGTAATTATAGCGAATGTCAGAACTCGTTAGACTAGAACCTTGCGAAGTTACAGTGCGAACGGATTATAAGTAATCCGAGGCTGTTCATAATTTATGACTGTGTCGACAACGTAAAAAAAAAAAGATTGTGTAATATGTTATTTTGGAACCTCACGAGCAAAGGGCACCAGAATAATCTCTAGACAAATAAGAAAAAAAAAATACTCAGAATATTTTTTTCCTATGTATTCTTAATGTGTTTCTCTTTTTTTTTTCGTTCTTTCAAATTCTCCACACAGAAAAAGAGAAACTTTTTTTTTGTTTTTTTTTTGTACTCCTGAAACTCGTTAGCGTAACGGGTGTATATGTGGTACGGACTAGAATTATAAGGTACCCTTTTTTCTTGTGCTCCGCGTGTTTTTTTAAGGCACGGCGAAAAATTCCTTAGATTCGCATGTAACCTAAAACAAAACAAAACAGGTTTTCAATTAGTTCGGCGCGAAGAAGTTGAGTAAGGTTTAATCACGCCAACAAAAAGCTCGAAAAAAAAAAAAAAACTTCAGTTAAAGCCGTTTTAGTTACACCGCACGTACATTATAAAAAAAAATGAAAGCCGTGTAATGTAATAATGTAATAAAGTGCTGTGAAATGTAATAATGTAGTACTCAATGTAATAAAGTACTCAATGTAATGAAGTACTGTGAAAATGCGAACTTCATATACTGAGCAGAACGTGCGCTGATTTCAGCTTTCGATGTGCTCAAGAGTATAAAATGTAGCGCTCGTGCAGTCTTCATCAGCGCGCGTACTTGCGTACGTGCACACCATTTGACGTGCGTCACACTCCACACCTTGCATTTTTTAAACTTTTTTGAACACACCACTAATTCGACCGCACAAATCACCGAATTAGTATTGCTGCAATCCTTAAACTTTGTGATATATACCCATAAAACGAAAATAATTGATACGCTGCAATTATTTCAACTGTACCTGCACTCGGTGCTAAAAGTATTTTTGATCACTTATTTGTGCGAATAATTCTTTAAGATTGGTATTTCACTTGTTATGTTCTAATCATCCAACTTTCGCGACAGTCCTACTTCACGTTTACAAAGCTCAATATCTACAACAGC